GGAGGTGAGCGAACACCGGTATGTGTTCGCTCACCTCCCAATCTACTGAGCCGACCTGTGACAGTCTCATTGTCACAGGTCAGCTAGAACTATGAGGTGAGTGAAAAGCACACACCTCATAGTTCTCCTTTAAGGAGTCCTCACTAAGTTTGGACAGGTTTCTCCTTCTGCAGATGGGCAAAGGAGATTGTGTTCTCTGATCGAAGGGTATTGTTTCCTCAATCAGGTATAAGGATGTCCATTCCTACTAGGTCAAGTTCATTTTTCTAAGCCTAGGAAGAGGACGCAGGCAAAAAGCAAAATACAAAATATGGCCCCAGACGTCAAAGAGGAAGACAGTTTACGGTTTTCGCAAGTTACATAGTATTTGAGGTTGAATAAAGACACAGGTCCATCAAGTTCCACCTATTGTGTGTATGCATGTGATTCTGCATGTGCAAGTTCGAGGATGGTAAAGCTTTCGATAGGGAATATTGTTAGAAGGATGCATTTAGTGTAATTTTATATTGTTTTAATATAATCATTGAAAAACAGCTGAAAGTGTTGTCCATCAGTAGTGTTTTCTGTGGATCATGACTACAAGGCATAATTATGGACAGTGTCTATGTGTGGCCCGGACTCTAGAGGTTTCCAGAGGGAGACAGCCAGGAAAGCGGACCTCTGTCTCAGAGCCCCAGAGCCTGGCCAGGGTTAGAAAGTGTTGGTTCCCTGGCCATCGTGGCAGGAGCCCACAGGTACTGAATAAAATATGGGCTCCCAGTGTGCAAGAGAAGTCCTGAAGGCAGCAACAGAACCATGACACACCAAACACAACAAAATGGCGGTTGTGAGTAGACATGTGCGATTCGTTTCGCTCCGCATCAAAATTCGGGCACATTTTCTGAAATTCAGACATTCGGACACATTTAAATTTCCGAATCTCACTGCATCCGAATGTGTCCGGATCCGAATTTCCTTTTCCGAATTTCGGATCCCATCCGAATTTCATTCAGAAACGAAACTGAATCGAGCATGTGACTTTTCTGGCCAATCAGATGTGTTTTTCGGGTTTAATGCATCCGAATGGGTCCGTGGTCACAAATTTTTGTTCGTTAGTATATGGCTCCCATGTTGCCGTAATGAAAATTCGTGTTCGGTATATACATATGATACTAAAGCTGAGGGTCCTAGAACCGTATGGCATTCGGGATCCGAATTTCCGAATTGCATTCGGGAGCTGCCAAATGCCATTCGGGTCTGGGAGCCATATACATATATTACTAAAGCTGAGGCTCCCAGACCTGAAGGGCATTCAGGAGCTCCCAAATGCAATTCGGAAATTCGGATCCCGAATGCCATTCGGGTCTGGGAGATGCAGCTTTAGTATTAATATCTGTATATATGGTTTACTGTGGTATTCGGAATGAATATTCATAAACTTATCTGAAACTAACGGAAATTCAGATTTCATCCGAATCCGAACCAAATTGAATTTCGGATCCGAATTCCGAAATAACAAAATATTCAAACCAAATTATTCCGCAGCTTACATGTCTTGTTGTGAGCTTTGCAGTGGATGCAGTGGCAGACATTTTATGCTAAATTGCTTATGTGCTCCTTTTTTTTTTTAGGTGCTAAAAAAGTTATATTCACCAGACCTTCCGAGCCAGCTCCCTGCTTCTGTGATCACTGAAGCAAGTCTCCTCCTCCGCTGCACAGATAGATTGCTCTTCAGTGTCCTCATGCCGATACACATTCTATGCACAGTGTATAGAGCATGATTACATCAGGATCCTTAGAGCGCTGCAGCAGAGGGAGACAGACGTTCTAGACACCGGTCTAAGAAGAAGCCGGCTCTGGTGAGTATAACTTTTTTTTAAGCACCTAGGCACAAGCGAGCACTTAACCCTTGCAGTGCAGGGGTAGCCCCACTGCAAGGGTTAATACAATCTTTTCCTGGAGTTCTTCTTTAAAGGAGAACTATGTGGTTAGGGCTTTTCCCCATAGTTCTCCTTAGGGTAACGGGAGGACACAAACTAGCGTCCTCCCGTCACCCTAGGCTCAGTATACCGCGAGCTGTAGCTCACTATATACTGAGACGCCGCAGCTGAAGCGGATCCCGACAATTGTGCCAGGATCCGCCCAGCTGCGTGACTGACAGCTGGCTCTGCCTATCTAGAGGCAGAGCCAGCTGTACCCGCCCCCTCCCCCGTCCGTTCCGCCAGTCAGCGCTGGAGGATCGGAGCGGGGAGGGGGGAATCCAGCCCCTCCCCTGTCACGGCAGAGAGCCGTGACAGGATCGAGAGGTGAGCGAACGCCGGTATGTGTTCGCTGACCTCCCGATCTACTGAGCCGACCTGTGACAGTCTCATTGTCACAGGACGGCTATAACTATGAGGTGAGTGAAAAGCCCCTCCCCCTCATAGTTCTCCTTTAAGCATTATAATGAACAAACATGCAGCATTCTATTATGTTAGCTAAAAATATACTGTTCTGACCTGTGTCTGAAGTCAATAATGTCATCTGCTGCTTGGCCTGAAGGCGCTGCTGTTCTGTGGCACCCGTTTCTATCTTCATTATCCTCAGCTCAATCTTTTTCGGACCTTGGTCGAGAATGTCGATCTTAACTTGGAAGCCCATGGCGAAAAACATTTCTCTGAACCTCGTGGCAGCTACTGTAGCCTCGGACATAATTTCAAATTTGATGTAGATGTATCTGTCATCCTCTCGGTAGGTCTGGTGGTCAATGACAGGCATTTCTCCCTCATCAGCGCTCACAAAGATTTCTTCCTCCACGTCAGATATTTCAAAAGAAGACTTTGTTTTAAAGATCTTGTGCAGCCTCCTTCCTGCTTTTCGGAAGGCATCGTCCAACTCACTTCCTGAAGTACTCTCTGTCTCACTGTCTGTAGAACTACGCTTGGATGGAATGCGTATTGGCTTATGTGGGACATCTGGAACGCCACCCCCCACCACCAACTTTGCACTGTGGTACACGGCTCCAAATTTGTTTGATGCTTCGCATGTATAAGTTCCGGTGTCCTGAAGCTCTACAGCAGTGATGATTAAAGAGCAGGTGCCATCACTGTAGTTGTCAATATGGTAATGTCGTCCATCCGAAATCTCTTTGTCATTTTTCAGCCAACGAGCTGTAACGTCAGTATTGCTGATGGCCACACACTCAAGTTGAACTGTTCCACCTGGTTCAACCGAGAGGTCTTTGAAGGTCTCTGTAAACAAAGGACATTCTTGTAGCTTGATGACCTTCCTTGCTTTGTACCCCTTGAAGGCAGCCTGGATTTTCGTTGCTGCTTTCTCCAGTTCAGGATCATCATCCAACAACTCAAGTGTATCAGGTTCTTGTGGAGGTTCCGGTGCCTTAACCTCCTTTACATCAGAAGAGACTGCCTCGAAGTGCTTGAAAAATTTTTTTGTAGATACAGTCTGAACTTTAGATCCATATGTGATAGTGGAATGGCCAGCCTTTTTAAGATAGGACACGAGCGATGGCGTTCCAGCACGGGACTCATCGTCTGAACTCGTCTGAGAGAAATCGGCCTCGCTGGTTTTTGCTACGTCTTCAGAGGTGTAGCCTGAAAAGTCAGCTTTCTTCTTGTGTTTAAAATCTTCTTCTGGAACCTCAGAGATGGAATCCAAAGTCGGCTCTTTACTCATTCGTCTCTTTTTAGCCAATGCCTCCCACAATAAATGGAGATCGCCTTCTTGTGCAGCTTCAGGGGGCAGATTTGGCTGGGTGCTCTCTTCATCGGCATCTCCATGACCAGACTGTTCGTGGGCTACACTAAAGGCCTCCTGCACTGTGATCAGCTCTGTGATGGATCGTACTAAGTAAAACAAAAGGTTGCAATTTGTTTATGAGATTGAATTCCGTTATGAAATTATTATGTTAAAAGCACACACACACACACACACACACATATACAGTATGTATGTAGCAACATATGATAGGAATGAGAGGAATGAGGGTGTCACCAGGACCGCAAGACATGGACAGAATTGCAAACGTTACTTTACTTTGTTCCTAGCTATCTCTGTGGACTACAGAAACCTTCCCCCATGTTACCACCTGTATCCAAATCAGGGAGTGAGGTGGAACTTACCCAGTGCAGACATCACAAGCCTGGGTGTGCAAGAAGAAAAGCACTAACAGCAGAAGGGATAAAGTCCAGATTCTATTGTGCTCAGACTCTTGTGTCGTAAAAAGTCAACATATTTCAGGGTTTCAAAGGGCCCCTTTAATCAGGACTGGGTACTATTGCACAAAGCGTGTATTAAACTAATAAAATGGGAGGGATCCTGATGGGTAATTAGTATGGTTACACCAGTAATCCACACAGTCCCTACTCAAGCAAAGAGCCAAACTTCACAAACCACTCCTGGGAGACCTGCCTAAGGAGAATCATTACCTCTGCACTGCTTAACCAGTTGACATCCGCGGTGTTAAACCCCCTTCCCATCCAGGCCATTTTTCAGAGGTGATTTTCACTCAACCTTAAAGTTCGAGCCGACGTGTGACAATGAAGTCTATTGAGTCACACGTCGACTCAATAGATCGGGAAGTGAGCAAACACATACCGTCGCTCGCTCACTTCTCGAGACTAAGAACATCTAACGAGATCCAGCCCCCCCCAACAATAAAAACCTGACCCACATTCTAACACTTCCCTATTCTACCCAGAACAAATTAAAATGTTTTGACTGTAATTTCACATGAAGTCTATTTGTCTTTGAACCAAAGGACTAAATGACTTACTTCCTAAAGACACGGTTGCAGAGGTTTTCACCCCTGATGAGGTCACACAGGAATACGCGCCCTGGTCATTTTCAGAAACATTATGAATAATTAGGATCTGTTTTTTGCCTTCAGAAAAGCTTTCATATTTCTTTCCCGGATGTAGCGCTTCATTCTCCTTCATCCAGGTGATGTCACGTGTTTCATCGGAAAGTTCACACTCCAGGTGAAGACTCTCGCCCTCCCTTGCAGTTTTATCTTCCAGCTGTTGTTTGATTGTCACAAGATGCTCTGCAATGGAACCGTCCAGAGTTAGAAAAGCTAAAATAGCTAATGTAATTGCAAACTTTCCACAAACAAAAGAGTCAAATTAAGCATCTAATTTCTGCATGAGCTATTGAATATGGTTTACATGCTTCAAATACAAAATAAAACTCTCCTCACAAGGACTTCTTTCTATTAATTTTACCAGTCGACAATTGTTTGAATCTACTTCCTAGATCTTGCTTTTAGGAATCTATTTCACTATATTAGATATACACTGAGTGGCCAGTTTATTATGACCACCTGATGTTTGAAGGCAAATTAGCTATAATTTGGCGCTGAAGTAACTAGAGGGCCAGACCATTATAAATAGGGAAGCGGGTTGTTTACCACGACAGTAGAAGTGATTTGTTTCTGAAGATTCGGGGAAACAACGCGATGTAACAGCCTTTGAACGTGTGATGATTGTTGGTGCTCGGAGCCATGGAGCGAGTATCAGCAAAACAGCAGAATTCGTTAAATGTTCAAGAGGGGCTCATTGTTAAAGTGTTTAAAGACTGGACTGTCAGCCGAAAATCTGGGTCTGAACGTGCGAATTGTGGCCGTCAGCGACTAGTCAATGTTAGGGCAGAACGGGGAGGGGCAAGACTGGTACAAGACAACAGAAGGGCAACAGTGCCGTGTCAGATTCCTCGCATCACCTTTCATCATCTCGTGGAGTCATCTCGTGGCCCAACGAATTACTGATGGGGTGGTCATAATAATCTGGCCACTGAGTGTATAAGCTAATATAAGCCTATAAGGTAAATAGTGTTCAAGGAGTATCCAACACTGAGCAAACAGCAACTGTCACAGTACAGTGTTAGCAGTAGGAGACATTTTTCCACTTTATAAGCAGTTGAAATTAAAAAAAACCTCAACTTTTGGTAAGAAATAATAAGAAATGGAAATGACATCACACCCAGCAAGCCGCTCAAGGATGCTTGTCATCAGAAGGGAATGTCCTTGCTCCTTCTATTTTCTATCTACTCCACAAAAAGTTAGAATTACGGACAAATCCAGAAAATATAGGAACAGACAATGCCAGCGAAAGAACATTTCAAAACCCAAGCTTTTAGAGCAGCAGCATCGCAAGCCCCATTGCTGTACCACCACACTAACATTTCAAGTTTAGTCTTGTTTTTTGCTGTCATATTACTTTCATAGCACTGTTGTAATGAGAAGTACTGGGCTACCTACTGGCGTGTTGAGCTTTTTGCATTATAATACAGTGTTTCATTTCTTCTATGGTCCCATTGTTTGATAAAGACCTTGGCCAAACCTTCACTATATGGTCAAAAAAGTGATATAGATGTCTGCCAAACCTTCACTATATGGTCAAAAAATGTGGGCAACTGACCAACAACCCTCTATAATCATGTTGGACATCCCCTTCCCAAACCATGGACATCAATACGGAGTTTCCCCCTCCTTTGCACCTATAATGGCCCCCAATCTTGTGAGAAGACTTTCCACAAGAACTTGGAGTCTGTCTGCGGGAATTTGTGTCAATTCAACCATAACAGCATTTGTAAGGTCAGGTACTGATGTTGGACATGAAGACATTGCTTGCAACTGACGTTCCAATAATCCCAAAGGTGTTCACTAGGGTTGGTCAGGGCTCTATGCAAGCCACTTGAGTTCCTCAACACTAAACTCATCAAGTCATGTCTTTTTGGAGCTGGCTTTGTGCACAAGGACACAGTTGTGCTGGGAGAATTGAAAACACACAATTGTCCAAAATGTTTTTTTTATAATGTAGTGTAAAATGTTTCCTTCTCTGGAAGCACCTGAACCCAGTCATTTGGAGAGGTGTCAACATATTTCTGGCCTCGCAGTGTTTTTTGTGACATTAGTAATGAGATCTCCCCTCTGGTCAAACCCCAGCTCTCGTCCTGAGAACCGCAGCTTTCATCATCCTCTCTTTTGAAGTTCATTATCTTCATGATTCCAGTTTTAGAATCTGGTAGAGCTATGGTGATAGAAAACACTCCAGAGACAGGTTCAGATACAACTCGGTTCATATCCGACCCCTGACTGTCATTAGTAGGACCAGGAGTGATGAGGGAAATCTATCTACCAGCTTCACAGACAAAATAACAGATGTGAAATGGAATCAAGGTCTTTACACAGAAAAAACTAGTTACATTAGGAGTTCTACTTAGCTCTATAGAGTCTAAGTCCAGATGAAAGTTGGAGGTTCAAAAGTTAGTATAGACCCCGACCATGTCTACATAAGTATATCTCGTTCCTTGTGCAACAATATTACATTACAACTAATGTCAAAATCTAGACAGTTCTGATAGAGTGGGAAGGTTTATCTTTTTTTCTGGGGGAAGACTTCCTGTGGGGTCATTGTTAAATTTTTCCAAGGACAAAAAAAACAACCCAACTGAGGTTTTATCTCTTCTTCACTTTATCCAAAACTAAAATAGATTTTGGCTGGAGTTCTACTCAAAGCCGCCAAAAAAGTCGAAACAGGAAGTGATAGCTAACTACATCTTACAACTTCCTTTTGTCCATTTCTCAGCTAAGCTTCTGAAAAATTTGAGTTTCATTTGTACCTGTCTACATACCTTAACTCATTTGCTCCCCAACACTACACCAACGCACCCATGAATATTCCTGACATTCATTAAAGCAATGAAACAAACAATGTAAAGCTAAAAAAACAACGTTGCCTAAAAGCCATGCATGGAGGATATTTTGTTTAGGACAATCTTTGCACTAATTTACAGCATCTTCTGCATTCACTGCCCTGCATTATAGAGGTAAGTCCAAATTTGGATGCAATTATTTAGTGTAAATCTAGACCTAAATGTCAAGTTAGGGTATGTGCAGAAAGACAGTTTAAAAGATGTTCATTCAAGATGCGTATGGGAAACACTTTCTAATCCACTTAAACACTGCACTTGGTTTAAAGGAGAACTATGGGGTTAAGTCTTTTCCCCATAGTTCTCCTTAGGGTAACGGGAGGACACAAACTAGCATCCTCCCGTCATTCTAGGCTCAGTATATAGGGAGCTGCTACACGCGGTATACTGAGACGCCACAGTATACCGCGAGCTGCTGCTCGCGGTATACTGAGATGCCGCAGCTGAAGTGGATCCCGACAATTGTGCCGGGATCCGCCCAGCTGCGTGAGTGACAGCTGGCTCTGCCTATCTAGAGGCAGAGCCAGCTGTACCCGCCCCCTCCCCTGTCCGTTCCGCCAGTCAGCGCTGGCGGATCGGAGCGGGGAGGGGGGGAATCCAGCCCCTCCCCTGTCATGGCAGAGAGCCGTGACAGGATCGAGAGGTGAGCGAACGCCGGTATGTGTTCGCTCACCTCCCGATCTACTAAGCCGACCTGTGACAGTCTCATTGTCACAGGTCAGCTAGAACTATAAGGTGAGTGAAAAGCACTCACCTCATAGTTCTCCTTTAAGAGAGTATCTGAAGTCAGTTTTTATTTGCGTATAGAGTAAGGAATGTTTAAAACCCCTGTCAGAATTGTTTTTGCTGTTTGTCTCACTTGGGGAGATTCCCCTTTGCTTCCAGTCCAGGAGATGCAACAGGAAGGGAGAAGAAGTGTCTCTAAAGTTAGAAGAAATACCCTCTTATACAGTTGTCACTGGAATATATGTACCCACTTTGGTTGAACTTGATGGACCTGTGTCTTTATTCAACCTCAAATACTATGTAACTTCCTTTTCTATTCCTGTTTTGGTGACAACGTAAACATTTTGGATCTCCCGTCACTTTCTGTCCCAGTGACAATGGTCGCAAGGGTGAATCTTCTCAGCGGAGACACAAACAGCATTAAAAACCTAAGAAGATGTGGTTGGGAGGCGCTGGATCTGAAACTGGTTTCACATGTTAGTGTCAAGTAGACATGTGCGATTCGTTTCGTTCCGAATCGAAATTCGGACGAATTTTTCGGAAATTCAGACATTCGGATGTATCCGAATTCCGAATTACAAACATAACGAATGCAAACGAATCCGAATTTCCATTTCCGAAATTCGGTAGCGGTAGTTCGAACGTTTGTTTCGTTTTCGGTTCTTATTCGTTTCGTTCGTTGGAGCAAAGTGACATTAGAGAAGGAGAAAAACATTTTCCCCCCTCAAATGTCACTTTGCTGCAAACGAATGAACGAAACGAATAAGAAACGAATAAGAACCGAAAACGAAACGAACGATCGAAATACCGCTACCGAATTTCGTCCGAATCCGAATTCCGAATCCGAATTGACTTTCACACCCGAATCCCGAAAAACGAAATAACACAAATCCGAATTTAAAACGAAACTAAACGAATTTTTTGGCAGTGCACATGTCTAGTGTCAAGGTGAGTTCATACTGTGAAGAACCATGGCCCTGGCTACGCAGCTCTCTAACATGGAAAGGTCTCTCAGGTTAACAATGGAAGGTGTAAGGAGAATAGGAGCACCGCACAAGTCCATGTCCCAGTATATGTATTTCTTCACAGAAGTCCGGAAACAACAAAGATGACAAGTGAATGCATTTCGGGAGGCTATAAGGCTTTTTCTTCATCAAGGCTTGAATTGGGTTTAATTGGACTTATGTCGATTCTAACATAAAGCGGTTCCTGTAATCCAAAAGCATGCTTCAGCATGGCTTTGAGAGTTGATTGACCTCCCTATTGACCACTGATAGTCCAACTCAACCAGCCATTTAGCTGGTTGAGTTGGAGGAAACCTTGTAGCCCCAAATGTGTTGGATTGTCATCTTTGATATCTATGGACTTTTGTCATTAAACAAATATAATTGAACTTGTATACCTTATAATGTGGCACTTTATTCTCCTCACACTTTTCAGCAATATAAAACCTGTCAGGCGTTCTAACGCTACCCTACTCTATCCAAAACTAAAAAAAAATTTAGATTTAGATACACTGAAATCTTGGTGACACCTGCTACTCCCTATTAGCAACATGGCCGCACATGCATTATTTTGGCTGCTAGGATTTTGCACATACTTTTACTAGGGATCTGTAATCCAAGAGACAGCCATATTCCTTGGGTAGTTCAGGAGATGCTCACCCATGGTACACACGTCTTAACACTCCAACTGTACATACCCTTAGTAAGTAATGTCCAGTTTTCTGTAAAATGGTCCCACCAGTCATGCTGCTTTGCATTTGACTACAGTTAAGCATGGCCCCCAGTAAAAGCAACATAGAAAAGTTCACATCTAGGCAAACAGCGGAGGACTTGTAAGAAGTAATATGTACATATATTTATGATGCGTTTTGTAGCTTTTTCGGCCCAGGGCATCAATGAATCAAACAAAGCCATGCGAGTGAATATCTACACAGCTTTTTGAAGCTCACGGTGCGCGGCCACAGGTTCTCACCTAGCTGGACTGTTTGAGGTAAGTGAACCGGTTCCCCAACACCCAGCTTGTTTACGGAGGAAATTCGGAAACGATAGGGCTCTCCCTGTTTCAGGTTTTGTGCAACATATTCCATACTTTGAATGATCTTCATGTTGAACTGCTGCCAATCACCACCAGGCGATTTCATCTCAACATTGTATCCAATAATCGGGGAGCCCCCATCACTCAAAGGGGTGAACCATGACAGAGTCACGGACCGGCTGGTCTTACTTACAATCTCCGGCTCTTCTGGGGGATCGGGGAGGGCTAAAGGCACAACACATACCCAATAAGACACATTTTCAAGGAAGTAATGCGTGAAGAAATCAATTCAGTGAAATGGACTGTGATTTACTGAATTGGATGACTAAAACACCGACAACAACTAATGGTTGCACAACTTATTTTTCAAAACGAGGATGCAAAATAAGGCCTTTCAGTGATGAAGCTTTAATGGAATAGTCATGTTTTAAGCAGTTTGGGCATTTCAAATAGCTTTATGCTTTGGCAGAAGAAAGCTGAGGACCTTCTTACCTAGAAAGACCAACTTGGCAGACACAACTACATCTCTTGAAGCAAAAGCCACTTCTCCGGAATGATGTAGTTGGGCATCTTTAAGAATTAGCCTGTACTGGTTGCCCTCCACGTGCATGGACCAGTTCTCATCTGGCGTAATAGGCAATCCGTTAAAGTACCAAGAGACTTCATTTACTGGCACGGCTTCACTTAATACACAAGTAAATGTCGCCTTTTCACCAGCAGTCACCTCAGCGTCAGCCGGAGGCTTCACAACTTCCAGGCGCCAACCTGGGGTCAAACACATACATTCAAACACATATTCCTCATGTCAATGCCTCCTGAGAAATTCTACTACATTTCAACTTCAAAAGGAGCAAAAAGCCTTAAAGGGAAGGGAAAGTGGTTGTGTACATATTTATGTGAAATATTGCATAATAGCCCTGTGTGATGTTCTTTTCAAGCCACTTTTTCAATAATTTGGCTGTTTCAGACTTTAGCTGCGCTGAAAGAAACTGGTTGTTTGCAGAACTCCAATAAGTCATCACATCAGTCTCTCATTCCTTATCAGAGGGCTCACTACAAGATTTCCATCAGGCAAAGGCAAAGCAAGCCACTCTTCTATGCTCTCTCTTTGCATAACCCATCATGCTCTGGGAATACTTTGTCATCTGTTATATATATATGTAAAACAAATATATATTTAAAAATAATTCAAATAATATTGACCCAAAATAACAGCTCGGGTAAAAAATATGTTCCCAACTGTATTTATGTCTTCCATTCGAATATGTTTTGCCTCTCTGTGTCAAATTTCATATTTGAGCAATAACCACTTTAAAAAAGTATCCATTAGAAACTATCTCCTCGAAAATCTCCTGAACATTGGTAAAGATTTCGTTTGCAATAATCACCACTTACAGTATTTGTTACTCAATACTACAGTCATTAAATTTGCCTACAAAAACTGCATTTGTATCGACACCAGTGGCGGAACTACCGCCGGTGCAGCCGGTGCCGCCACACTGGGGCCTGAGCCTACAGGGGGGTCCCAGTATCCATTCAAACACAGCCCCGGGGCAGAGATGGGGGCCCGTTGGTGTCCGGCTGCCGGTTACCATCGGACCGGTATGCGGCGGGACCCCCCATCTCTGCACCGGGAGTGTCCGTTGATCACAATGGTGTCCGGCGGATGGCGGGCCCACTCATCTCTGCGCCGGGAGTGTCGCAAATTCCAAAAGATGTCACCAGCACTCCAAAAGTAGATTCAATATATTTTAATGACAACGGTCATTCAAAATCACAAGTACTTTCGGGGCCACGTTGGGTCCCCGTCATCAGGCTCAGAATGAGAATTACTACTTGACTACACGGTGCCTCCGTGGTCGCTACAAGCACCCTATTACAGACATCATCTCCTAGGAGATCCGGTAAGGAGTGCAGGAAGATACACACAATTTTGGGAGTGTCGGAAAGACCCGACACTCCAGGTGCAGAGATGAGGGGGCCCGTCGGCTGCCGGACACTGTGGAGGGAGCCGAGAATTTAAAAAAAGCCTGCAGCCAAGGGTCCGCCCTGGGCCTCGGCCGCGAGGACCCAGCAAACAGCCGCCTGAGCACAGGGGCAAAATGAGATGGACACACACACAGGGGTGGTTTTCTGCAGCCTCCCACACCATAAAACAGCCAGAAGAGGTGAAGGTAAGTTAATAAATAATATAATTATTGTTTGTAGCCCGATTGATGGCATTGCTGTATAAAGTACAGCTGGTACTTGTAGTTCTATATAGCAGGTCCCATTCTGCATTGCAGCAATGCAGAATGGCACCCTCTATAGAGGACTACAAATCTCAGCTGTACTTTATACAGCAATGCCATTTCTCCAACTTTTTTTGTGGGACATGGGTTAGGGGTTTTTTTTTGGGGGGGGGGCAAAAATAATCTTGCACCAGGGCCCTTTGTTCCCTAGGCTCACCACTGATCGACACCATAAGACCTTCCTTACAAAATGTGATCTATTGTCTTTCACTATTGTAGTATGTACAGTATGAGTATAATATTTGTGGAAAACAATGAATGAAAATAATACCTGTAACTCATACTGTTCTTTTCTTCTTTTCATGCTGCGAATGGGTATCTCTAAAATGTTTCTTACATTGTACATTTCCTGACTAGTACAATAGCTGTGCCAATGCGAAGGAATTTAGCCATGCAATGCTGAGAAGCAGGTCAAATGTTTATAAGTATTAGATAATAAACCTACACTCACTGGCCACTTTATTAGGTGCGCCTGTTCGACTACTCATTAACGCAAATATCTGATCAGCCAATCACATGGCAGCAACGCAATGCATTTAGGCATGTAGACATGGTTAAGACGTTCTGCTGAAGTTTAAACTGAACATCAGAATGGGGAAGAAAAGGGACTTTGAAAGTGGCATGTTTGTTGGTGCCAGACGGGCTGGTCTGAGTATTTTAGAAACTGCTAATCTACTGATGTGGATTGTTCAACCATATGATGCGAGTGTAAAATGATCTGACCTCCCATCCTTACATAATCCAATCACCAAACATGAAGGAAAGTATGAACGTTTATCATGCTTTTGGATAATCAACATTTGACTTGGCAAAGTTGGCCATGTTGGTATAAATGCAGGGGTATGCCGAATGTACCCTCCTTGCTATTGCCGTATCCTGACTCAACACTGGGAATTAGGCAGAGTAGGTACTGGCACATTGCCCATCTATAAAGGGCACCTGTGGGCTAAGGAGGCCACTTGGATGAGTAATGAAATATCTTCAACATCTCAGAACATGTCCAGTCGAATGAGACTATCTACTACTAGATATATCACGACCTGAATAAATGAGACCTTAACAAGCACATTAACACCAATAGGCCATGGGTTATAAAGCTCTGACTCTCTCTCTTCCTCTTGGAGTTAGAAGATTGTCCAGAATTT